TTCTCCTGAAGGCTGCACCTCCTGAACCTCCGGTGTTGGCTGCTGCTGCTGCTCGCTCGGTTCCTCGAATTCCAGCAGTGTTACTCCCTCAGGTACACCTATTGCATGCCGATGCATGAGATAAATATCATGGATGCATAAGGAATGACATGATGCTCATGATAAATGAATCACAGTAAGTGTGTACGAAAACATCACTGGACACTCGTTTACCGAGTAAAATAGCTCTATTCAAATCACTTAAGCATGTATCTAACTTAACTTAAAGAACAAGATCAACTTACCTAACTTGCATAACCTAAGATAAAGATGCTCATCTTCAGTTAAAGGCCTAACACCTAGGAACATTACCACAAACTTAGAAATAGTAAAGGCATACATAAATTAACATTTAAAGTTTCACATGCACACAAGTAGTCCCTTAATTCAATCACAACAAGAGTTCTACAAATCCAAATGACTTGCATGAGGACATTCTGGAAAGCTTATGAAATTCTCTACAAATCAATTGTAAACTTTAAAGCATGATTCTTACGTTAACCAAATCGAATTCCAGTAAACCTAGAATCTGTCCAGAAATGACAGGGTTACTAACTTAATTATTTAATGATGATGCAAACGCAGAATTTGACCAAACCAAGTTTACCAACTTGTTGCACATACCAGAGGAACACTAAAAAGTATAGTTCTAACTTCTAAATAAATTATTTAATATCCTTTTCCAATTTATTTCGTTAATTAGGTGATTAAAGCAATATATAGTAAAATTGTTTATAAAAATCTATAAAAATTACAGTAGCTATCTCATGCTTCACATAGACTACTATAAAAATTTCAAAGCCATTGAGCAAGCAGAACTTGCTGTACCCAAAATAACAGATGGCCTATCTATTTTTAGCATAATTAGGAAACCCTATTGAAAAGTGTCAAGCAACAGATTTCTCATTTTTCCTATCCTCATTCTAGTATAAGAATAGCACTCACCAATTTTTACAATTACTGGATCTATAGAAAAATTATGAAAATTCACACAAGATCCATCCATGCAAACAAGATAATTTTCTATCTCCTACATACAGTGTCCAAAATTTATAAAAATTTAACTACAAGCTATTCATGATATGAGCAGTACACCATAAAAATTTCATGCCATTTGGAGCTACCTGGAAAAAGATATAATTACCCCTATTGCTTGCATGATTAAAAGAGATAAATAGAAACTCCTATTTTTATAACAAAACATGGCATGGATTATATTTTTAATAGAAACTAGATATTATCATGAACTCAACAAAATTAGAACCATATCATTTGGATCTACCATCTAAGAGCTACATATTTTTGAATATGTACATAAATCTGTGAAATAATAAAACAAAACAAAATAGGAAAACCAAATCAACTACTGGTGGGCCGGCCCGAAGAAACGGCGGCCCGTGAAGCAGGCGTAGGCGCGGCCCAGAAACGGCGCGGCCCAGCCAGGCTCCCACCTCAGCCGCGGCGACTGACGCGCGGGACCCACGCAACAGAGAGACAGGCAGGGGAGGAGAACAGGGTGGCGGCAAAGCTCATCGCCGGTGACTCTTCCGGTGAACCCAACGGTGCTACGGTGTTCACTACATCAGTGCGCATCTAGCAGTGCCCTCAATTGATGCTATTGGCGCGGCTACCGGGGTGGGCGACGAGCATGGCGGCGCACGGCCGCGGCATGGCCGGCTCCGGCGAGACGACGGCGTCGCAGCCCCTAATGGTGACCCTACGAGCTTCAGCAGCGCTTCTAGGACCTAGCGCGAGAAAGAGATAGGACGGGAAGGCCACGGTGGCGACTGGCCGTGTGGAGCAACAACGCCGGCGAGATCAGCCATGGCGGCGGTGGAAGGAAACTGCGATTTCGCCCTTACCAAGGTACAATTGGATCGACGATGGGGTGGAGAAGGTAGAGGGGATCACGGCGAAGCCACAGACGAGCTGGGCAACGTGTTTTCGTGGTGGCGAGCGCGCACGATGACAGCGACGCTCGGTCGGGAATGGCGGACGGCCGTGGACTCGGCGCTACGCGCAGAGAAGGCGAGAGGGAAGCGAATGGGGCAGGCGGTGCGTTCAGGCAGGCACTGGCCCTCTTCTGGAGCGCGGACACACGACGTGGAGGCTTTGGCAGCACATGAGCTCCACACGGTGAACAGCTTCTGCGTCGGTCAGCCATGGCGACACTGACCATTTTCTGAAACATTGCGATTCAGTGTTTGACGACTATGACTGACAGCGCCATTTCATCGTGTCAACACGGCTAATCCAATGACCCTTTTCAAAAACTATGTACATGAAAATTGTAGGTCTACCATCCATCTACAATTTTTTTCAAGGACCAACACCTAAATCGTCGTGGATCCAAAGTTACATGAAGCCAAAGTGGGCTTGATGCAACTGAAAATGTAGCTACGACTTAGAATATTTTCTAGGTGTGAAATCAGCATGGAATTCTGACTTGTGGGCCATGTTTGAGTATGTTCTAGCCATTTTCATGAGATGATCATAAAACAACTTTTGTTCCTTGATAAATTAGCTACAACTTTGGTAAAGAGTGTACAGCCATGCAAGATCCCTAAGTTGGACTTTTGAATCAGTCAAATAGTGCCACTCTAGGGGTCAATTCAAGTCAAACCTCTCCTAAAGGGCAATTTGGTCATTTTGGTCCACATGAACAATGTCCAAACAATTACCCTAAGTGTAGTTAAGGTGTATTAGACCATAATCAACCACTTTACACAAGTGCTATACCAATTTCTAATGATCACATGTGATGAAGCAACAAAACAAGCAATTCACTCAAATGTTGCAATTCCATGTTTCACATGTTTCATTATTTTTGTTGCAATTTTAACTTGCCACATTCCTACCATGTTGCCATGTTTCAAGGTATAAAAAACTCATGTTGCATTCACATGTTGCACTACTACCATTCACAAGAAATAAGTATGAAACAAACAGAATTGCGAAGGTTGCATATGTATGGTTCAGTGACAATGGCATGATGAGATAGATGATGCACATGTTTATGAAATGAAATGCACTTTTGTAGAAGCCAAACACCTAGGGTGTTACACCTTTCAAAAGAAAAAACCTAAGTGATGAGTTTTCACTTTCGTCTATATCCAATAGCAATATTTAGCTTTGGCGATAAACCTACGCACTCATGTCCCTTTCGTAAATCTAATAGATCTGTATTAGCTAGGTTTTGATTCAATTGATTGATTGTTATCACTTTAGTATATCTAACGACCTACGTATTAGCTAGTGCCTATAATATTACAATGAGATAAATATGGTAGCCAAATTAAGTTTTGAAAATCTAAAATGTCGACGTCATTTGTGAAGTGTTCGACTTTTGCGCCGGCCGCCCATATGCAAGTTCGTCACTGGGCTATTAATTGTCCGTCCGTCCAAGTGCCTATTGGTTCATGGTCATGCATACGTGCTCGCTTTCGTAATCCATGCCAGACATGCCCTGCACTGCAATTAAGAACCACTTGAAAAGTCTCTGCGCACGAATTTCTCTAGTTATTGAAGTCAAAACGGCATAATCTACTAGTAGTAATTTACTTCCAAAAAAAGTTAAGACCGATACCCTGGAAATCGGTCTGCTTTTAGCTTGCTTCACGCGGAGTTCAAAGAGTAGTCTGAGATGTTTGGATGACTGAGACGAACGGACGAACGCCGGCCGGTCGATCAGATCAGGACCTCGCAAGAGGACATTCTTGCTGTTGGTGTCACAGTGTCGCAGACGTGCCCGCCGTGCATACACTCCCCCGATCGGATCACATCACACGTCGCAAAGAGAACATCTCTTTTTGAAAGACGCAAGAGAACATTTCTGGCTGTTAGTTGGTGTCACATAGCTTAGTGTCTCGATCAGGCGTACTCACCGTGCATACAAGCCTAGCCAGCAAGGCACGTACGACCGTTTACAGACATGCATGTATGGAGTATTGTTTACGTACGTACATACGTGCATGGCTGAGCAACTCGCCGAAAATATCCAGCACGTACGATCTCTTCATGATTATATTGCATAGTCAGCACAGCATATATAGGTTCGTTATGCCCACGTTCATATATATTATTGGTAGTAGTCAAATTGATCACCTCAACCTTCAATATTAGGTACGGTGTGCAAAATAATCTAAACAAGCTAGCCCTAACTACTGGTCTGCTGCTACAGCATCCAAAAGCAGGGCCATTCGCTGTAAGCCAGCATCTCTCGGAACCCTCCTTGCTTGCCTGCTGCCGTTCGTTGAAAACTTGCATGCATGTGGCCGGCGCGCATTGGGTTCCTTTGACCTTGACTCGTTCTAATTAAACTAGCATCCCAAGTCGCCGTCGTGCCAGTTCCCGGTGAAGATTCAAGCCTAGGTAGCTCTGACGTCGTCGTCGTCGTCGTCACACGCACGCGCCACCGCGGCGAGGCAGTCGATCTGCTAGGCCACGCCAATCAACTCACGCTAACGGAGGAGGCAGAGGAGAGCGTTTCAGGCTAGTACGCGGCTTCTGGAGCCACACCGTGCATTTGTCGCCGGAAAAACGCTGCTAGGACGCGCGTGGACGAGTTGCTAAGCTAGCCAAGCAGACAATCATTCCAAGTTATCGACCGGACCGGGGTAGTTTAGGCACTGTCTGGTGGCGGTATGACGAACGGAGGATGCACATGCATATGCATCCCTCGTCGTTTCATTGGCAGCTCTCTATAAATACCTGCGGCGTCCGAGCCAGATGAGCATCGCAGCAACGCACGGAGATCACATTGCAGAAGCTAGCTAGCCTTTGCATCCTCTCGCTCGCTGCTAAACACGTTGTTCCAGTTTGCTCAAACTAACAGAGCGCACACACGTTCCTTCAAAAAAATAAAAAAATAAACAGAGCGCACACACATCATCATCATACACGAAGATCAGAGAGCCGAACTGAGCTAGCTCTGCTGCATGCCCCTTCGGCAACGTCCGACGATGGGCGGCGGTGTAGCTAAGATGCCGGCGGCAGGCCGGCTCTGGTTACTGCTAGGCGTGGTGTTAGCCTTTGGAGTTGCAGCTAGCCCGGCCCAGGCCTCCAGGAATACTCACTACGACTTCGTTGTAAGTTCATCCATACATCTCACTTCATTTCAACCTATATGTATCAGTACTAGCTAGTTTAATTTCAGAGATGCTGGCAGTTGCTTGAGCACGTAGTATTTGCGGGCACATACAAATCAACAGCTGTACATATGCATGTTCTAGTTTTGAAATATCTAGCTAGGTTGATGTGATTGCATATTTGCATACCTTCAGAACATTTGGACATGTCAGGTCTCTAGCTAGTATGAACTGTTAGATACTCTGCATGAGCATGAAGAAGTAAGTAGACCTAGCTAGCTGTATTCCGACAGGCACAGATTGACTTCTTACATACTTGCTTGTCTAACTAGAAACCGTATTAGTAGTTATATATATTTGCTAAGCAAAGAAACTACGGAAGCCACAATTTTCACATTTCCCTGATGTGAACTGCTGAATCGTCATCACTTGAGAAAAAAGCTAGCAACGATGTGACACATCTTATTAGCTGCTTGCTAATCTTTTCCGTTCCAGAATGCAGCATCGTCTTATCGAAATTAGCCTCTTTGCTAGTTATCCAAGCCCCTTTTGACGCCCACTGCTTGCTTCGTCCTACACACCCACCATGCAGTAGGCTCGATTAAGAGGAGACAAGGACTAACGCCGGCGTGTGATATATATTTCGCAGATCAAGGAGACCAAGGTCACCCGGCTCTGCCAGGAGAAGACCATCCTGGCCGTGAACGGGCAGTTCCCCGGGCCGACCATCTACGCGCGCAAGGATGACGTGGTGATCGTGAACGTGTACAACCAGGGCAACAAGAACATCACCCTCCACTGGCACGGCGTGGACCAGCCGCGGAACCCGTGGTCTGATGGCCCGGAGTACATCACGCAGTGCCCCATCCAGCCTGGCGCCAACTTCACCTACAAGATCATCTTCACCGAGGAGGAGGGCACGCTGTGGTGGCACGCGCACAGCGACTTCGACCGCGCCACCGTGCACGGCGCCATCGTCATCCACCCCAAGCGAGGCTCCGTCTACCCCTACACAAAGCCGCACAAGGAGATGCCCATCATCCTCGGCGAGTGGTGGAATGCAGACGTGGAGCAAGTTCTCCTGGAGTCCCAGCGGACCGGCGGCGACGTCCAGGTTTCGGACGCAAACACCATCAACGGCCAGCCCGGCGACTTCGCCCCGTGCTCCAAGAATGACACCTTCAAGATGTTGGTGGAGCATGGCAAGACGTACCTACTCCGGATCATCAACGCGGGGCTCACCAACGAGATGTTCTTCGCCATCGCCGGGCACCGCCTCACGGTGGTCGGCACCGACGGCCGCTACCTCAAGCCGTTCACCGTCGACTACATCATGATCTCCCCCGGACAGACCATGAACATGCTCCTCGAGGCTAACCGCGCCACCAACGGCTCAGGCGACAACAACCGCTACTACATGGCCGCGAGCCCGTTCTTCACCAACATCGGACTCCCGGTCAACGATAAAAACACCACTGCCATTCTGGAATACACGGACACGCCGCCCTCAGCGGGGCCACCAGACTCCCCCGTCCTGCCGGTCATCAACGACATCGCCGCGGCAACGGCGTACACGGTGCAGCTCCGCTCCCTGGTCACCAAGGAGCACCCGATCGACGTGCCAATGGAGGTCGACGAGCACATGCTCGTGACGATCTCCGTCAACACGCTCCCCTGCGGGGCCAACGAGACGTGCACCGGCTTCGGCACCGGAAACACCCGCCTCGCGGCGAGCCTGAACAACGTCAGCTTTATGATGCCGACCGTCGACATCCTCGACGCCTACTATGACTCCATCAGCGGCGTGTACGAGCCGAACTTCCCTAACAAACCGCCCTTCTTCTTCAACTTCACCGCCCCCGACCCGCCGGTGGAGTTCCAGCTCACGAAGCGGGGCACCAAGGTGAAGGTGGTGGAGTACGGCACCGTGGTGGAGGTGGTGTTCCAGGACACGGCCATCCTCGGTGCCGAGAGCCACCCCATGCACTTGCACGGTTTCAGCTTCTACGTGGTGGGCAGAGGCTTCGGTAACTTCGACAAGGACAAGGACCCGGCCACGTACAACCTGGTCGACCCGCCGTACCAGAACACCGTCTCCGTGCCTACGGGCGGCTGGGCTGCAATGCGCTTCCGCGCGGCAAATCCTGGTCAGTATTTGCTAAATTTGGGCAACAGTGATTTAACTACAGTATATATGTTGTTATATATATATGATTTTTTTTATCTTACGTTGTGCTGTTTATTTCTTTGCTTCTGTTAGGTGTGTGGTTTATGCATTGCCACTTCGATCGTCACACGGTGTGGGGCATGGACACCGTGTTCATTGTGAAAAATGGCAAGACCCCAGGCGCTCAAATGATGCCACGTCCTCCTAACATGCCAAAGTGCTAAGGAAACAAAGGCATGAGCCACGGATGATGCGGTGTATGCAAGACAATCGAGCAAAATAACTATTCTCAGTTGATGATTGAATTAATTATTTGCGGTACAGATTTTAATTAGTGTCCTTTGTATTTTTTCTTTTTCATTTGGTTGGAAGAGAAAAATATATTCGTTGTATTCATTATTTGTGTTGTTTTACTCCTAGTGCAATCTTTAAAAAGTGTAATTAAACAATGTATTCTACGGAGTTACATTCTGTATCCCGTGAAGATTCAATATAAATACGTACTTCATATATGTATCATTTATTTTCGCCATGATAAGACCATGATCATTTAGGTCCCTTTTGGATCCTTAGAAATGAAATCTATGCGAAAATCGAAGTCTAGGCACAAATCCAGCAAGCTGCTGATACCAAGGTATTGCATTTCAGGTTATGGGCTCCTGTTGCATTTGTCTTTGTCAGACCTTGGCATGGATTGAGCAGTAACGAGCCGACGAGCCTACTAGGCATCATATAGCCTTGACGACAAAGGCTTCGATCTGGTATATCTTTCGAGGAAAAAACAAGGAGAAAACACGTATAACTATATTCTTACACATGACAAAGACGACAAATTGCAATGAACATGTTGAAATTCTTCTGTGAGGACCCATCAAGAAAAATAAGTGGCACACAGGGAAAATATTGTTTCCAGTAGTGTGATTGTTAGGAGATCACCGAGTCAACAATGAGAGAATAAAACATTGAGCAGTAGCATGAAGACTACTATCTCGACTTGGGTGTAATGTAACATTTTCCTATATCCCACGCTCACGTAGCTTTGGTTTGATGGTGGCTACAATCACCATATGTGTCTTCTCCACACATTGCTGAACACCAATCGGTGACCCCAGCAACAAGACAATCACCGGTGCAAGGTGTAAGTGATACATGAAGAGAGATTGAGCCAACAAGTTATCGTGTTGCTCTCTGGAGTATACATATACAGGTTACAGTAACCGGTGCTGGGTGCGCACGGGAGGAGCGTGGGCGACGTTGTGGCCACCTCACTGTCAAAGCTAGTGCTAACTACCTGAGACTATAACCGGTATAATACAACACTTCAACACCCCCCCACAGTCTGATGGGTCGGCACAGCGACACAAAGACTGGAACAAAATGACTCAAATGTCGAAGTAGGCAGCCCTTTGGTCATGACATCTGCATACTGTTCGCCGGTGGGCACATGAACTCGAACATCACCGAGCTGGACCCTCTCGCGAACAAAATGAATGTCCAGTTCGATGTGTTTGGTGCGCTTGTGATGAACTGGGTTGGCCGACATGTATACCTCCGAGACATTGTCGCAGTATGTGACGGTGGCTTTGGTGACCGCGCACTGGAGCTCGCCGAGCAACTAACGAAGCCAGATGCACTCCGCCACGGCATTGGCGACAGCGCAGTATTCAGCTTTGGCGCTGGAGTGCGACACCGTGGGCTGGCGCTTTGAAGACCACGAGACAAGCGCGTCGTCCAGGAAGACGCAGAACCCTGACGTCGATCGTCTGGTGTCGGGGCAGCCCGCCCAATCAGCATCGGAGTATGCTGTGATGGAGAGGTCACGGCTGCCGTGGATGTACAGTCCCATCGCGCTGGTCCCTCGAACATAGCGGAGTATCCTTTTCAACAGAGCTTGATGGGGAACACGGGGGTCGTGCATATGCAAGCACGCCTGCTGGACAGCGAACGCCAAATCAAGGCGTGTCATGGTAAGGTACCGCAGCGCGCCGGTGATACTCCGGTATGTCTTGGCGTCTTCAAGTGGTGGCCCATCAGCGGACAGCTTGCCCTTGGTATCGATCGGTGTTGACGCCGTCTTGCAGTTCATCATCCCTGCACATTCAAGAATATCGTCCACATACTGCTGTTGCGATAGATAGAAGCCGGTCGGTGTACGCTTCACATCGATGCCGAGGAAGAAGCGTAGTTCACTGAGATCCTTGATTGCGAACTCAGCACGTAGTCGATCGATGATCCGTTGGAGAACTGCGTTGCTGGACCCGGTGAGCACCATGTCATCCACGTACAGCAGGAGGTAGGCAACCTCGTGTCCTCACCGCAGAACGAACAACGACGAATTAGAACGCTGTAACACCCGTGTTTTTGCATCATGTTAAAAACCACTATAAAATTTTAAATTTTTTAAAATTTACAACAAATTAAAACCTTGACTAATTATTTTTCGCAAAACCGTTTTAAAAATATTTTCCGAAAACCCTGCATCAAAATCCACCATATGCGTTTCGTATCTCGTAGGATTTAGTTGTAGCGCTAGGAATATTTTCTAGGATTAGAGAAATTGCTTCGCATTTATATTCCATTGCCTGCACTTTGTTTGCTTGGGTGTATGTTTGCTTGCGTGATTGCTTGAATGCTTGAATGGTTGCTTGCATGCTTGTATGATTGCTTTTCTGGAATTTATTTGCGGCACCAAAATAACTCCCCTTAATTATCAATTGCATCTTTGAATTATTTAATACATCATAGATATAAGCAATTTTTTATTCTCTAGGAATTATAATAGCCATCGCATTAATGAATTATAGGTTTAATTTTCTTTCCAATATTCCCTTCTAAATTTACATTTAGTTAAATTATAGTTATATATATATTAGGAAATCTAGAAATATGAGATTAATAATTTTAATTTGTGTCATAGTTATAATAGAGTAGATATAATACTTAGTCATACTAGAATATATATATAATATTTAGAAATACATCATGAATATTGCATTACATTTCTCTTCTTGATTTACATCATCTATCTATTAAAGGAAATAGATACATCTACATTGTTATACATTTTCTGGGAAAAGTAGAAAATCGTTCTCCTGTGGACTCCTCCCGGCCCAAGCCTGCTTCCCTCTTGCCGAATGGGCTCGGTCCAGCGTGGCCAGCAGCTTGGCCCGGCCACTAGCAGCAGCCCTTCTCCACTTCCTTCTCTCCCCCTCTCTTCCTTTCCGCCTGGGCCGCGCGCAAGGCAGGCCCAACCAAGCCTTTGGCCCAGCGACGCATCAGCCCCTCCTCTTCTCCCCTTCCTCCCTCTCACCGACAAGTGGGGCCCACTGAAAGGTCCTTGTTTGGTTTTGGTGATTGAGTGACAATCTTAGGTGGACTAATTGTGTTTAATGTGAGATACATATGTGATTAGTCTACAGGTACATGTGTGTGAGCAACATATGCCTTGGAGGTGAAAATGGCTTGGAGATGTTGCAAAGCTCACACATGTGATGAAGGAGCTCATTGCATATGAGACATGACATTAAGTCATGTGACTAAGGTGGAGAAGATCAAGACAAGGCTTGGCTCGACGGACCAATTGCAAGTGTGAAGGGCAAGTTGAGTGATGACTTGGCACCAATGGACCAAGGCAACGGTGAAGAGCAAGTCAAGTCAAGATCGATGAACCAATACGGTCACGTGATGATATGAAGTGGATCATATCATTTGGTAACCTAGGGCATTTCATTTCACCGGTCAAAGGTTGTGTAGAGAAGTGCATGACCGGGTTTAGGATAGATGGTCGTACTATCAAGAGGGGCAAACTTGTTTGCATATTGGTCATCTAGTGTCACTTGAGCGATCTAACTTTGCATACGTGTTAGGATCAAGTGGCATGGCAAGAAGAGTGCTAATCCTTTGGAAAAATGTTTGTGAAAAGCTAACACACTTGCACAAGTTGGTGAACACTTGGTGGTGTTGGCACTTTCGCAAAGGTGAAGAAGAGGAGGCGAAACCAAGCTCGGGGTGATGCCTGGTTGGCACTGCCACCCCCTGTCCGGTGCACCACCACCCCTATGGCGGTGACCGGCTGGACAAGGCTAAGAAGGAGGAGTTGGGGTGGCACCGTCCTCCTGTGTCCGATGACTATTTGGCAGTGGCCGAGAGCGCGCAGAAGGACTGGGGCACCGACATGACCGGTGTGCACTACCATGGGCATGGCAGTGGCACTGCCATGGGGTGTCCGGTGCACCATCGTGGCACCACCACTTTTCGGCAGAGAGTGGGGGATTCGGGGCCGGTCACCGCCTGGGCACCGCCATGCCTAGGGCGGTGCACCGCCCTAAAATTCCAGACAGCAGGGTTCTCGGACAGTTGGCTGGGTGGTCACTGCCACCCCTTGGGTGGTGCACCACCACCCCTGTCCAGTGACCAATGACTAGTTTCTAGCCATTGGAATTCGACCGTTGGGGAGGGCACCGCCGTGTTCGGTGCCCTCGCAAAAACCAGCAGCTTTGCTCCAATGGCTCTATTTGGCTTGGGGGCTACAAATAGAGGTGGAGCTCAGGCTTGGGCTAGTTGCTGAGCACACTAGAGCCTTGGTGGCTTGTGTGGTGGTGCTTGGGATCCCTCTAACTCACTTGTGCTTGATAGTGATCATCCGATCGAGTGAGTGAGCGATTCGAGTGCTATTGCATCGTGAGGTTGCATCGAGTGGCACTAGGTGATCGTGTTGCAAGTCGGTGGTGCTTGTTACTCTTGGAGGTTGCCACCTCCTAGATGGCTTGGTGGCTTGTGACTCCGTTAAAGCACGCAAGAAGATTGTGCGGTGCTCTGGAGGAGGATTTGTGAGGGGGATTGTGCTCACCCCATGGGGATCAAGAAGAGCAACTCTTGTTGAGCGTGTCATTGAGCTACACTCACTTGTGGGTAGGTTCTTGCGGTGCCCAACATGTGGGCTTGGCGAGTGATGCCAATTAACCGCCGAACCACCAAGTGAGCGGTCGACACAATGGGGACTAGTGTGTTGGCAAGCATGTGAACCTTAGGATAAAATCACCGTATCAACTTTGTATTCATCATTCTTCTCGATGGTTTGCATTCCACACAACACAAGCTTGTATTTACATTTCATACATTGTGCTTGTGTAGGTGCTCTTGTGACTAGTTTAGCTTTAGTAGCTTGCTAGTTGCCTTCTTGCTTGTGTGGCATAGAACTAGCTCCTTTGTGTGGCTAATTTAG